ATTCTCTACAGTTAACCACAAAACATCGGAAAGCTGAAAATGTTTTCTTGGAGATAAAAACTAACCAAAAACTATCCATGGAAATAAAAAGATTTATTAGAAACTATGATATAGCAATACGGTGTAATATATTGAAAAGGTGTAATGGAACAATTTACTGTTTAAATTATTCAATCAGTTATGTGTTCATCAAAAATGAAAATACACAGTTTTTCGATTATTTTGTCCTTTTCATCCAATTAGCCGAATGCGAAACTCTGAAAGCTTAATTCGAGCATTTAAACTGAGTAAATGAATTTAGGAAATACCAATTTAATGTTAGATGAACGTGCTACGATAAATTGATTCTGAATTTATAAATTCAAAGTTTTACATGAACTGTTGGTGAATGATCGTGATATTTTGGCTAATAGGGGTCATATGTTTCAATAGCAGTAGTGGTACTTATAATTATATGAATTTATATTTGATAAATATAATGACCAAAACACTGAAAATCATTTGGATCATATCAATTAATTTTATTGAAAAATGGCAAAACGACTGAAATAAGATTTTGTTTTCAAATTTTTTCAAATGCACTCAATTAAATGAATGTCTGAACTTTAAATTACTAGCTTCATAAAAAAATCTAAGCGTTCAAAATGAATGCTTTTGTTCATTATATTTGAAAATATATTGAACTAATGAGTAATCTGTATTTTATTTTTCGTTATTGAAAACAACTGACTATTTTCTGCTGTTTAGTATTACAATTAAAAATATAAATATAACAACACTATATAATATAGTATAATATCTAAAAATTTAATTCTCAAAAAAAATTTTTTTTAACAAATATTTAGCAGCTCATTCTTCACTGAAATAGTTATAACGATAAACTACATTATGATAACGTGAATGCTTTATTCGATAAACAAAACGGATTTGCAAGAATGATCATAGAATTTAAAGAATTTAATTTTAAAAAGTTTAGTCTGCAATTATTTCAAGCATGCTGGCACTTAAGTGAGGAAAAACTGGTTCAGTTAGAAGTTTCTAGCAATAGCCAGATCAGTATATCCCTTCTAAGAATTATTTTCATCATTTAGAAAAAATTCCCGATTATTTTCCTGAAAACTTTCGGCGTATTTATTTGAGTTCAGATTCTTTTGATGTAACATTCCCAGCATTGATGAATACACTGAAATTTCTAAACAAATGACATCAATCCTAGCATATATTTGTAATTTTTTGTTTTTTAAGTTCTTAATAAACTTTCACATTTAATACACGGATTTGTAAAATATTCAGATTATTCCTGAAAATGACAATGATATATCTTTTCCAATCAGCATTTATTTCCAATGATTAATCTTCTTTTTCTTACTATCAATGATCTTTGGTCTGTTTTTCAAAACGATAGATAGAAAAGGTACAGTTTGCAGTTTTCTTCTCATTCTTAGTCTCTCTTCGAACAGTAACATATGTATTTATTGAAAATAACAGGTTTTTCAATAGAGCAGTTGAGGAAAGATGTACATTTTGTTTGGTCGACGGCAAATTTTGAAACGACTTGTGACAAAAAGCAAAATTATCATTATTAAAATTTTTAAATGAATCAAATTAACTGGTACTGGAAACTGCAATAGTGATGGTAAGAAAGGCACAAGATTTTCCTACACTTTGTTGTTTTTCTTAATCAGTGCTTCCGGCTTTACTATTTTTGAGTAAATACTGTAAGTAATAATGATTCATTGTTTTTCTGAATTAATAGACTTTAAACAGTGAATCAATAGCTTAGGTTAATAAAAGGATATTTCAGAGGCTGATTTTTTCTTCATATTTTGAAATAATGAAAAAAGATATTCTACTGCCCATTAAAAATAAGTTTGTTAAGATTGCTTTAATTTTCAGTCCTCAATTTCTGTCGAGTGAAAGTTTGAACCTAAAAGGAGTCTTTGAAATTAAAAAACTTCTATTGAGTTGCAGCTCTTATTTTGATACACCGATCGACTTTTATTTTTTCGTTCGTGAATATTTTTTCTATTCTGGACGTGAGACAGTATCGTACTTAGTCTCGTGGGATAATGTTTCCATGTCGCAGTCACAATTGATGAAATCACCTTTTTAGGCTAGCTTCGCATCTTTTATGGCTTTGAATGACCAATTTTCTTCTCTACTTCACTACTACAGAAACTCCCTCTAGGATGCTATTAGGTCTTCAGCTGTTGAATTCTTTACGAGGGTGTATTTAGTCTGAAAGTAGGGCACAGTAATTACTGATTATTATAAGCACTCTCCTTCTTCAAAATCGGCGCCCTCCTGGTACATATGGATGCGGTTTCTACAAGAACATTATAAAGCTGCAGAAGCATAAACTTACTCCTTTGTTCATTACTATAAAGCTCCTAGCTCATCTTATGGCTAGTACAGTTTCTCTAAACATGCAGGTTAACTGTGACTTATCTACTTAGTATCTAGGCAGTTAGCCTGATATCATGGTCAATTGCTCGAAAGGCTTCTGGTTCTAGTTTGAGCACCCCAGTAATAGCTTATTAATCCTAGGAAGTGTTCATTTACTGCCTTGATAAAGTTCTTGCCCTTCAGAGCGGCTTTGGCTTGTCGCTCAAATCTCGCCAAAATCTCTGCTCGCACTTTATCATATGCTTTTTCGAATCGGAGCGTTAGTCCTGTCTATCATTATTACAAGGCATTTACACCCTTGAGTTCCTTCGAAGAGCACCGCCTTGCACACCTCAGTATTGACTTTGCTGGGTTTACCTCTAACCCTACTGATCATTTTCTTTTTTGAGAAATGTGAAAGTTTCTCTCTTCTATTCACTCTTTTGCATGAAATAGCTTTTTGTCGTTCATTTCTCTGCTTGTCGTTTCTGCTTAATTTTCTTTTAAAATTTCAGTTATAATCACAGCCAGAAAAGGACATACACTTATTACTGCAATAACCTGGAATCTACCCATATTTCACTTTCAGTTGTGATTCCTTACTTTTCGAAGTTGAATTTCAAGCTGAGTTTATTTTACTACCATGATTCAAAGACAAATAGAAGTTTTAAATTTATTGATAAAATTTGAATTCTTCCTGTGGCATCGATTTTTCTGACAAAAATATTACATTCGATACTTTCATAACTCAGAGCTTTCATTTTCCCACTATTCAGTTGTTTCTTTGTCAAGTTATTGTAATATTCATCAGTATTTGAATTTATCTGTAGTTCTATGTTTTAAGCCCTTTCTTTTTTCCAAATATGAAGGAAGATTTTTCAAGAATAGAGCCATGAATTTTTGTTATGTAGGGTGGATATGCTGAGTAGTAGAGGTTCTTGATGTTTTTTGAAAAGAAAATGATTTTTTACATTTGAAGAAGAGATCAGACTTCCTCTGCTCACTGCCATTAAGATAGCAAGTCTTGGGATCATAACTCTTATTACTGGGATCTGTTCTAACTTCAGATTCAACTCTTTACTCATATATTTATTAGGTATTTGTTTGGAAATCCAAATTCATTGATTTTTTTACAGATTTGCATTACATTCTTTTTTTACAACTTATTATTTAAAATCTGTCAAACAAAGAAATTAACAGTATAATATATTTTGATGTTAAAAATGCAACTGTAATGAAAAAAGTGTTCTAGTGATTACCGCCTTTTGAAATTTCTTAAAAACTTTGAATTAATTTTTTCTCTATCATTATGCTGCTCTAGAATAAAGCATTACAATGCACAGGTAATTAAAAATAAATTAATTAACCATTGAACAAGGTGATTTTGGTAGCACATATACACTCATAAAATCATGCAAGGATAATAAAGGAAACATTTACTTGCAATCAGTGATAAGTACAATGGCAGTTGAAAAACATAATATAATTTCTGGTCTAACTCTTCTAGTTAAATAGCTATGAGCTCTATTTCGGTTTCTGTTTGCATATTTGCAGCTGCGAACAGTAAGTTTAAAGAGCAACAAGTTTTCTTAAATTGTTAGGTTGGGATTTCATTCGAACTATTATTTGGTTGAAAAACGAAATTTGAATTACTCTGTTATGGCCATTCATTTTTTTTTTTGCAAGAATAATTGAAGCTAACAACAATCCTCTTAATCTGAACTTTGTATAACTGTTAGATCTGATTCAAATACTTGTTACTTCGTTTAAATGATACAAATGAAATAAAGGAAAAAAATGCTGATAGTAGATATTTTTTAAACACTGACAACTATATAACTGCCTGGTCCAAAAATGAGCCAGATTTTACGAAATGAAATTTTAGCCAAGTCCTTTTTTTCACATCTGTAAGCTTATTTTGATTCTCACTAAGATCTTGCTATTTTCCAAGGTTTTTTCGATTGATGTGCGCGAGAAGTTTATTTACAACAAATTCAAAAAATAATTTTTTAACAAGCCTGAAATTTTGAAGTCAATAAAATGCAGTCAACATAAATTTTGATGGCAATTAACAACTATTCAACAGGTAAATAGATAATCGCGCTCGAAAATGTTGCACTTCAATTATTCAATCTAATAACGTTTATTTTATAAAATTTGTCAAGTCATTTTTCCAACTAAGTGATTAAATATTTATGTCTTTGAAGCCACACCTGTTTGCAGTCCTTATCTTTATAAATTCTGCATAGTCGTTTCCAATAAGCTTTTATAGTTTGAAATACGATTGCTATGAGCCGTTTTACTCTCAATGCTGTCAAATTATAATTAAGCTGGAAGCGAACAACGAGGTTAACTGTCATAAAAATTTATGGTTTTTTTTAAGGGTCAAGCAAAAACAAGGAAATTGAAATCATTTAATTATCAATTTTTGTTGCCGAATCATAGAAAAAATATGGTTATCATAACCATACAGAAATCACCGGAAATGACTCACTCCCTAACAGCTTCTTGCTTACGATATAACGAATGGAACATTTATAAAAGAGTAAAATAAAATATTAAAAAAGCAACTTCTAATCGTATTGCCCATGCATTGAAATCGCTATTGTCAGTTTGTCCAACTCCAAACTGGATTATTTACATTTGCAAAGCAATGTTCGTTTGTGAAGTTGTGTTGCAGTATGAAGAGAACTGAGTAAGAAGGTTCGTTCTGCCTTTATCTGTTATGGAGACATTATGACGCTACTATAGAAGTAACTGGCGTAAATAACTGCGATCAGTTGGAACAGCAAAAGCAATAGTATCGACAGTCAAATGCACGGTAACGGCAGTAATACGACGGAATATTCCAGCAATCAATCGTATGTCTCAAATATATTCTATCTAATGACTGAGAACGCATTTCTAAAGAACTTTTCCCTTTACAAGCGACTTCCAAGGAGCGAAAAGAAATAATGGATCATAACGATAATGCTAACTCTTGTTGCAATATCTGAAGGAATGTAAATGAAACAAAGGAGGAAGCTAAAGATGATACAAATGGAATGAGCAGAGAGGAATAAAGGACTAAAGTTGAAAATCCCAAAGAAGAATGCTTTACAATCAAGATATCAGGAGCAGAAATAAAGGATGAACAGAAAAAAACTGCATCTGGAATCATAGCAGAAAACAATGGGAAAGCAGATGAAGTTGTGAAAAGCTCCGTGAAAGATGTAGGAGAGCACTCTGCCAGCTTATCAGAACCAGGAACCAGTAAGATGATAACGCTTGAAGAACTCATTCGAAGAACTGAGATTCGCAGAGCAGCTGGCCAAACAAAGTGGTGAAGGTGGTCAGCCCTTGTGTCGTTCCCTGTATTGCGAGAAGTTTGTATTACTTGTATTTGTTGATGATTTCAAGCTCCTTGTAGCTGATAAGGATATGAAGAAATCTATGGCCAAAGAAGTTTAGAGTCTCCTTGAAATAGAACAGTTGGCGGTGAATCAAGCAAAGTCAGCCACTAATACTGAAGTATGCGCTGATAAGGTCGTGTTCTTAGAAGGAGCTTAAGGGTATAAATACCTTAGAATAATGCAGGAAAGGACTAGTGCTCCGACTGGAGGAAGCTACGATAAAGTGGGAGCAGAGATTTTGGCGAGAATTGAGCGACTAGCCAAAACTGCATTGAGAAGCAAAAACTTTAGCAAGGCAGTAAATGAGCACGCTGTAGGATTACTCAAACTGGAATCAGAAGACTTCCGAGTAGCTGACCACGATATCAGACAGTTACTAATCAAATACGGAATCCACATGCAACCTGCATGCTTGGAAAGACTGCACCTGCCAAGGGACGAGCTAGGATGTGGACTTCATAATGTTGAGCAGAAGAGTGAGCTCTCCAACTACATAATGTTCTTGTAAATACCGCACTCATTTGTATCAGAAGGGCAGCATTTATGAGACAGAAGAAAGCTCATAACACGTACTTAGCAATTATTGTCCTTATCCAAAGATAAGATACAACCTCACAGAAAATCTCACCGTTGAAAACGTATTAGCAGCCCAAAAGGCGTTCTTGTATAGCGAAATAGAAAAGAAAACCCACCATGCAAAG